GTGCTAGTGAACCTTTCAACACCATTATATCACTCACCGGGCTCCGATGGCTGGGCCACGTGTTGCGCATGCCAGCTCACCGACTCCCGGGACGTGCATTGTTTGCGCGCCAGGGGTGCGGTTGGAAGAGGAGGAGGGGAGGCCAAGCGATGACTTTGTCTAGAGACATGCAACCTCTCACTTCGAAGTTGGTGTCGGTTGGTGCACCCAGACTGTCTGGCTGGGATCCTAAGGACGATGAACACGTTGGGTTGGACACACTTGCTGATATGGTTAGGAGCCGGCCCCAGTGATGTGTGTGTTGTGAGTTTCCTTGACCCCCTCCAACGACGATCTTAATTATTGGGGATAAAATGACTACTTTGCGGCACAATAGCCGATTGTTAGCTCTCTGGAACGATGTGCATCCGTTACAGGTGACTCAGCCGGCGTGCCTCATGATTTTCTTTTGTATTGCAGCGCAGTGGTTGAGTTTTCCACCTGCAGCTAACGTGCACCATGATGATGATGATGGTGCCTGAGCAGGTTGAGGTCAACCGAAATATCGAAACCTTGTTTCTTATTATAAACGATGGCACTAGTGTATCATGTTTCCTCTGGATCTTCGACGGGGAACAGTTGGCGAAGCCTGCCTCTTCCACTTTACGTACGATCTGAGCCCATCATGCATACTCACCAACTGGTAAGCGCCGTTTTAGTTGGTTTCTGATAGCCCGACTGGTCTTGTTCTCTTGATGTGCTGGGCTTCCTCTGCTATTCGATAGATTCAAGGATAATGGAAGAGCCTAATATACAGAACATCGTAGTAACCCTGCCACAGCTTAGGCTTGGGAAATCTTTCGACTGCGCTTCATTGTAAGCTGCAGGAAAAATCGGCAATTTAACAAAGTGAGACCAATTTCCAACACGTCTCCCCTAACAGACTGTAGCCGAAACCGTCCTATTTGCAGCTAATCGGGGCAATCCGCTGTAATCCATTGCTATCCAACATGAGGTGGATGCAGATTTGCACCCAATGTATCTGAGGGCAACGCAGTCTACAAACGGACGACGATTGGAGTACGGTTTTAACAAATACTCACCCCTATCCGCGTATTATGGATGGAGCACACACATATGATCTACATGCGCATCCATGTACTCCAAGCAACCTGAATATCATTTGGATTGATTGAACCACTTAGCGGAATTCTGTTCATTGCGGAAATTCTCTTTTGTGACATCCGGCATACATTCGTATACAGCATGTGCGGTAACCACCACCAAGCAGTGTTTATGCCGGCCCGTTCATCTCTACTTTTCGATGGGATTCAGGCTGCGTGCAGACGGATATTCATGTGAACAGATGGTAGAAGCGGGAACTCAGCCCTAGAGCTAAGTAATATGTCCGCTGCAGATCCATCTGCGGTCGCTGAGCCGTCATCTACAGACACGTATAACCAATATCAAAGGGAATAGTTTTAGCCAGGCGAGTTCGATAACCGCATGAAGTTCACCCATACCAATATCGGGGAAGGGGCCTACGTCTATACCAAGAGTATCGAGTATGTGTGCTAGTTCACCCTTTTGATTTATCTTTTTTGGTATTCAGTTTTTGAACTCGAAGAAGCTGGTGATCAGTGAAATGATACTGATTGCGGTGAACCGGCCGGCGTTGTGCACGCAAAAGGAACTGGGATAATCTATCAGATTGCTGTGGTCATAATTTTTCAGTTCATTTTTACCCATGTGATTTCGTTCCACTTGTAAATACGTTATTTCTCGAATGTACTGCGTTTGCGACTGAGGAGAGCAGTCGCAATTTATGTCTTCTGTTTGCACTGACTGAACAATATTTGATGTAGGCAGAAAAACCAACGTGCATTAATTCGTAATGTGTCAGATGTAACTGTTTCTGACTTGCTGCGCTGACTTATTTGATGTTATTGAAGAAAGCTGCTACCGCATTTCTGCCCCAGTTTAAGTCCACTGTGGTATTTTGTTTTTGCGTAGATGTAATAGGGCAATGCACTTTCTCACGGATAAGTTGTAGCAAACAGGAGAAGCACGGCGACAGCTGTCTTCGTTGTGATAAGGCACTTTTCCTTCGTTTTACACCAGAAATCAGTCAGCGACAATTTGTGAAACGCCCTGAAGACATGTGAAAAGAAGAGCCTTTTTCGTGCAAGTAACTAGGTTCTTGACCCATAGAAAACTTTTGGTATTTCCCCACCTTCGCTGTGGAAATATTGCGACAAAGCTTCTGCAAGATCTTCCAAATGCCGCACATTTTCATTAGAAAAAACCTCAGGAAATTTTTTAAATCCCCCGTTCGTCTCTTTCCAAATGTCTTCCAATGTCGGAAAGCGAACAATATCTGTACTGCGAACAGAAATCGCCAAACTCTCTAACTTTATTTTGCATTGAATATGGTAGCAAATTTTCCTTTCAGTGCTAGGTTTTCGTCATTTCTTTTTGCCAAGATATCGGACAAATAGGGAAGTCTTACATCGGTTCAACGGAACTGTGACTCAAGTTGGTGATCCATGAAGGAATCAAAAAGTTCTGTGCGTAATTCTACCCAACGCAGTAGCATTTGGCCACGTGGGAGCCATATTACTTTAGTGTGGATCAATAAAACTGCGTGAACATTTCTCCCGTTGTCACACAGAATTTTAAACAGTCGGTTATTCGGAGGCCAACATTTAATGAAATTAATTATTTTCACAACCTCATCGCGGACAGTTTTGAGGTTGGGTGGCATTTTTCTTACGACACTTGCTTGTAGAAGGAGGATGCACTGGTTACTTGTGCCGGTTTTGCAATGGTTTTTTTAATGCCAGACTCGCCGCATTTTTACGTCACAAAATGTGTCCCTACTTGCGAAAAGTTGGGACACCCCTACGTTAGGTTAACACCTTAACAGCCGTTTCTAGTGTCTTAATTTTTCGTGATACCGTATCATTTGCTAGTTGTAGTATGGGCAGTTGTTTCGCTGGTTTTTCGTCTAGCATGCACCTAGTCATTTCGACTGCACATGGCTTGCTAAGTTTCTTGGCTATTGTGTGAGGTTCTGTTGTCAACGCAATAATATAACTAACTAAGCAAGATGCTACAGTAGTCTTTTTATTCACAGTGTGAGACGTGTAGCGCATGTGTAAGCAACAACATTTGCTTGGTAAATTCAAGTGACACGTTTCCACCAAGATCCAAGAAACATCAAATCCGTAACTGGATAACGGTACTATGTACAAATGGATAAATGGGCATATACAATAAATCCTTTAACGATTATGCTCCCAAACTCAGGACAAGTACAATGACAATCGTTTGGTCCGCGTCGACAAGTCCAGCTTCAGTGCGCGTTGTACGAAATCACACTACTAAGGTACACGACGTGTTCATAAGACGGGTAGAGCGGTGAGATTGGTTGATCACCGGTCCAAAAAGGGATACGGATTGGGTAAGCCTCAAGGGGGTGTGAAGTTGGCCTGTTCGGCGCGTTCACCAATTGAGTCACGGATGCACATAGACAAAGGAGGAAATGGTCAGACAGGCTTGTCCAGTGGGGATAAAGGTTCAGCGTACAGGTATAATCGGTGAAGGGTGTAGGTCACTAAACGACCCTATTTGGTGCAGTGCAAAGTGTTGACGATCGTAAACAAAGTTAGACAAATGTGTAGAGGCAATTTAGGATCGTGGGAATGCGAGGTGATAACAATTTTAGGGAACGTAGGGCGGAACGAGGTGGAGATGGGGTTTCACGACGAAATGGGGAAGTATAGTCGTAATGTTTGGTAGGGGAAGGGCATATGGAGGGGAATTGTGATCGCGACGTCTGAATATTCTCTACACAACCCCTCAAAATTCGATCGGGAATTTTCATTGCTTGATGATAGTGTGGTACTGTTCTGGTCCACCCCAACCCACTCCATCCAAGATACACAGATACAGGACTTACAACGGTCTTCCTGCACCCCCCACTTCGGCCCGTTGCTCTCACAGTGGTCTTCGCTGGAGCAGCAAGTTGGAAAACCCGCCTCCCACCTGCGGAAAGCCAACCACCGGAATTACTTCCTCATCTATGCTACTTCTTTCTATCAAACAGGTTTTCATACGTCTCTTTTCTGTAACCCGTTAGCTGTTAGCACTACTACCGTCCTAACGAGGCCATCTTCCGAACTTAAACAGCTGTCTATTGCTCCTAACAACCACCTGTCCCTCGAAAACGTTTCAGCGACGACTAAAACCACGTCCCCGCGCACAAAATTCCTGCTCTGGTTTAGCCATCTCTGTCTGCATTGCAGTAGTAGTAAGTATTCCCCAATCCACCGTTTCCAAAACAGATTCGTCAGGTAATTCACTTGTCGCCAGCACCGGTTGTATTCATCTGTTAACGAGGGTGGTACTAATCCTGTAGTATTGGACCGTAGGATTAGTAAATCATTAAGCGTGAGAGCTAGTCGATCGTTCGAGTCCACATTCAGTGGAACCAATCCCCTACCGTTGACAATGCGTTCTGCTTCGACAAATAGGGTACACAGTGCCTCGTCATTTAGAGTCTGTTGCGTGGCGACCGATAACAGAACGCGTCTAACCGACCTGACAAGGCGCTCCCAAATCCCACTTCTGTGACTGGTCAATGGAGGGTTGTAGTGCCACTGTATTCCCGGACTCAAAAGCTTATCATTGATCTTTCCCTTGGACCAACCCTTCTTTTAATCTGGAAACCAACAGCGTGGCCATTCAGTGGTCACGATTATGAGGCCGGTGCTTTCGGTTGATTGCAGTATTGTAATTTATATTCGCAAGAAGCTATTGGTTTTTCACTAACCGCTTGGGTAAATTGCAAACACACCATTGAACGATCTTGATGATCGGATTATTTTAATGACTCAAATTTGCGCCACTGATTAGTAGCTGCTGTTTAGTGACACCTAACAACGTTTAACTGTTCCGAGTCTCTATGATGGCCTCCACACCCAAAAGCGCTTGCTCTAACGTGAGATTTTGTGTTTTAGAGGGTTATGAGACGCGCGGTCACTCCAGAATCGAACCGATGGAAACTGCCTCCCAGTTCCGTCGTCGGACTTCCTCACTGGGTCCGAACTATCGAGATGCGAATAAGGCTCCTTCGAAGAAACGTTTGGTGCGGAGTCTTTCTCGACAGTCCCTGGATCATGCTGACAATTCAACTATACCTGGCTCAAGTACTTCTTACCGCTCACCGATCGTTATAGACTTGAAGATCGACACATTCTACAAACACGTTAGTTAATTTGTCTTTCCTGCTTTGCCTATGTGTTAGATTTTTGTTGCCGATTTTTCGAAATTAGTTTGAGGTCTAGTGCATCGCTGTTCTGCTGATTTCTTCAGGTGATCAAAGATAGTACTTTTGCTCCATCTACTGTTGTAGTTTCCACCAAATGTTCCCTTCCGCCAAGCGCTAATTTGCCTCGCTTTCTTATGAGGAATGTATGGTGCACGATGCAGCCTGACAACTGGAGTAACTTGAAAGAATAGGACAGTTCTTCATTCACACGAAATATCTGCGGGCTCTATTGAAGAGGAAAAGCATTGAGTTGTTGGAGTCAGCGCCCTGCTACCTCAGAGATTCTCAAGGCGGCCTCCCCGTCATTTTGCGGACAAAAATTGGCTGACACTTTTCACCTCACCTCATCAGACCCATTACGCGGCATTCGCAAGTGTGTGTGTGTGTGTGTGTGTGTGCGAGGGGAATCAATGAACAAGCAAAGTGAATATTGGGTTTGTTGTCCCCCCCCCCCCCCCGAAACTAGCCGATAGTTGTTTTCAACTCAGCACTGACCTAACCCGGCATCTCTCAACTTCCGTGTGCAGAGTGGTAGCGACTGGTGTTTTTCTTCGCTTGTTCCACACCGCACAGTGTGGGCTGACTGTTGTGCTAAATTTGGTTAATTGTGCCAAATGAATCCACTCTACTTCGTTGTCCTCCAGCTCACGAACTGTGGCTAACCGCATGCAAACTTCGGCTGGACATACTTATTTAAAGTTATCCTGTGGAGAACCAGTTTTTGTAGCCTCTAACACCAAGCCAGTTTGTAAGACCAAAAAGTTGTCGCCGTTAAACGGTTGCTGAATTCGTCCCCATCTCCTACTAAGGAAACCGAGATTTTTCGAGCTTGCTCTGTCTTTGCCGATTCGTACGTCTCCGCATACAGTTATTTAAGCGAGCCTGATGGGGCACTGGCTCAATTTTCTTCTTCATACCTTAGTTCCATGGTGGATAAAACGGGTTTGGATCACTTAAGATGTCTCGTTGCCACAATTCACTATCATAGCTCCTGACCACACTGCCAGATTTCACAACTTGGTGTGCGGTTTCACTGCTTACGCTGAGCAGGCACAGCTTTTGCATTCGCATCTGATGAGATGCTCAACTTGTTCCCCGTCCACTACGTTTTCAAACTACATGCTGCCCTTGTGCGCAATGCCGGTCCAAGTCGTTTTCGCTATAGCATCACCTGCAGAACGAATTAGTATGCCCACTTCCTTATGAACTAATCTGCCATTGCCAAAATATCAACTGCGGAAGCGATAGATCGCTTGGAGAGGCCTTAGAAAAAACATTTTTCTGCTGGGGATAAATCAAAGAACACAACCTGAATTGGATGGCGGTACTATTTACAATAGTTCAGCAATCTCGACAGGAGTACAAGAATTCACATAAATACCCAACAAGTTCGACTTCAAAAAACGCTGACTTTGCCTCATAATGCGTGCCGATATGACGCGTGAACCACTGAGATGGGATGACCACACGAAAACCAAGCCGCACGACTCTGTACGTGGGTGAACGAGATCACTGCAGGGATTGCACGCAAACCAACGTACAAACGACATGAAAGGACAAACATGCCTGGTTCACTTCGGGTGATAATGCATGAACGTGTCCAGACGGAGTGAGATTATAAAGGGACAATGTCGTAAGGTGCATTAGTGCGAGGGCTGCTAACCGACTAGGATTGAAATTCGAATTACAGAAGGCTTGCAAAGTGTGGCTGGTTTGTGACAACAAGGCAGGGTTAGGATCGAGGAGCGCAATCAGGGATAGGATGGAGGGTACCACAAAGC